CATCCCATCACAAAAAAAAAATGTAAAACAGAAACACACATCCTATCAAGTATTTAAAGGGATTTTCTGCAGGAGTTCCCCAGTGGTCCACTGGTTAAGATTTGGTGCTTTCACTGCCATGGCATGGGTTCAGTCCCTGGGTTGAGGAACTAAGATTCATGCAAGTGGTGGAGCGCAACCAAAAAAAGAAAAGTAAGAAATAAGTGGATTTTCTCCGAAATTGAAGTATTACAGAGTAACATGTCCTATTCTAGTAACAGATGTTACTAGTCACAGATATGTAGTAAAACACTGCAATGATGCAATCATAAGCAATACTGATTACAGCTAAATTTACTTAATGTACATGCGATCGTGCTAAGTTGCTTCAGTTGTGTTCGACTCTTTGCAACCCCACAGACTGGAGCCTGATAGGCTCCTCTTTCCATGGGATTCTCCAGGCAAGAATACTGGAGTAGGCTGCCGTTCTCTTCTCCAGCGGATCTTCCCCACCCAGCGATAGAACCAGCACCTCTTAAGTGCCCTACATTGGCAGGTGGGTTCTTTACCACTAGTGCCACCTGGGGACTTCCCTCTGGCTTAGACGGTAAAGAATCCATTTCCTGCAACGTGGGAGACCTAGGTTCAATCTCTGGGTTGGGAAGATCTTCTGGAGGAGGGCATGACAACTCACTCCAGCATTCTTGCTGAGAATCCCATGCAGGCTATGGTCCATGGGGTTGCAAAGAGTCTGAACTGAACAGACACTATTGAGTGACTAAGGACAACACAGCACAGCGCCACCTGGGAAGCCCATTCAGTATACATACCTTATAAAAACACCGATAACATACCCAACCACTCAAAATAATTCTAGAAGAGCTGTTATAAATAAACGGGATAGAACTTCAGTCAGTCTCCTGTGCAACTCCTTAATGACTTAAATGAACGTAATATCAACTTTGTAATTTTCATCTAAAAAGTTATACTACAAAATTTACATTTATTTCGTAAGTCTGTACAGTTAAGGAGGCAGTCATAAATTCATCATTAACAATAAAGTTGGACACAGACTATAAGGTATGTACATACAACAAATACACATAGTTAATCATTTATCTGGAGTTCTGTTCAGATTTACAAAAACAGTAGTTCTAGGTTTACGGCTATTCTAAAGAGAAGTGCCCTTCTACAGAACAATGTCTTGGCTCACACAAAACTGGAAACCTTAATGTTCCCTCTGCGCTTCAATGACATGTCACTAATTCCTTCACTACCAAGCTTCATTTTACAGATGCTTATAAACTGCACAGGATTAAACAGGTGACTACTGTATCAGTAAGGATATATAATTTCCTCACCACAGAAAACAGTTGGACACGAATGAGGGACTGGATAACACCACCACCACAGAATACAATAAAAGCGATAATATTAGTTTCATTTTGTTTACAGACCATCTCTAAAATAATAAAAATAAAAACACCGATGCTCTTACCAGCTACTACATAAACAATTCCTTAGAGATTTCAATTTAAGGAAGGTGTAAGTGTTGTTAAATATATGTGGACTGGTTTGTTTGATCAGAGTGGTTAAATTATTTGTGAATCTGACTCTAAAAGAAAACAGCCTTAAAAGATATCTTCTGTTCCCGGGGAATAAAAACCATTCAAATTAACAAGCATTTGTGAACCATACTACATGACCATTCTTGCCCTTTCCTGTCCTCTTCCTTCCACTGACAGAAGTTTTATAATGTATTATAACTATACTTATGGTCAGCATGCTGCAGAAAATATCTTAGCATACTGATGCCAAGCGACCAATGAAACATCTTGGCTTCACCCCCCAACTTCTTTAACAGGTCAGTTGAGTGAAAGGAATGACCCCTTATAAATATGAGGGGTCAAAAGCTGAAACAAATGATTCACTTTTATAAAGAACAAAGCATAAGAGAATCCTTTACTATGAGGAAGATTTATGATTTCTCACTTCTTATCAATTATTCTTTGTATCTCTGTATTTTAAATCTATAAATAGATGTATCAAATACTAGGTATTGTTATTCAATAAAAGTTAGGATTTAAGGGCAGCAAATTTGTCTAGGTCACATTCCTGAGGCTTAGGATGTGCACAAGGTCATATGGTCAATAAGCATAGACAGGACTGAAATATAGGTATCTCTGGGGCTCAAGTCTGTGTGTTTATCACCATATTACACACTCACTGCTAATCTGACATGTGTACAATACAGACTTCAGTGCTGAACAGGTAGTCAGAGTTCTTTTTTTACTTAAGAGTTAAGACTGAAAATACAAATTACATAATCATGTGATTGACTGATATGTTAGAACAAAGTGTAAAAATGAAGCCATAAAAAGTACATGGAACAACTCAATTTCACGAGTGAGGAAAGAAGTAATTAAAGCAAAAACTTGTGTGTGTATTTTTTTTTTAGTTGTCCAAGTTGTTTTTTGCTTTGAGCTGACTTCCATGAACAGATACAAGAAATGTAGCTTTATTTTGGCACCATGATTTTCAGAGCAATAATAAAGAACAGTCTCTAGCAAGTTAAAGAATTTCAAAGGCTACAGACAGTAAACTATTAAACCACTTTTAATTAAAGTTCAGGCAATAGACAGGTATCTAAGGCAACTCTCATCCTAAAAAGAACACTAATTATTTACTTATCTTTCACTTCAACCTCAAATTTCTGCCTTTGAAATCTTTGTTGTTCTTCAAAGGCAGAAATCTGGGAAGCCAATCCTGGCTCCTGACCTTCTTCAAGCATACATCACTGCCAGCTGCACTAACACTGAATGCACTGGATGAGACAGGGTTATCACCAATCATTTTAAATTAGAAACTAAATTTCTAAAATTTGTTACTAAACAGGTCAGTCAAGACACAATTGTTTCCTGCAGGCACCAAGTGACCACTTACTCTTCTTTTTTTTAAAACTCTTATTTTTTGAAAGTTTCTAAAACCAAGAGAAGCTTGGTGAATGAAAATGAACCTAAAGGCTGACATTAACACAGATTTTTAAAACAATCAAGGTAAATTTTTTAAGAATCCATTTTATGAGTCAAATTTTGTAATAACAAACTTCATCTTATTTTCATGGTGCAAAAGCCTGAGACATTTCCTCTGAGAGATGGAGAAAACATGTAGCAAGGAGGAAGAGCTTTGGCAATGAAATTCTGACTATATATTACAGTGTCTTAAGCTAAACTTTTCAAGTAGTGATCTGACAAATGAGGATCTTGCATTGAAGTCACTAAAACTGTATTAATGATTTTTATACAATATTAATACATATTTGCAGTGGATAAGAGTTCAAAGTGGCGAGAGTATCTATTTTTCAAGTGTATCAAAAATTTAAAATGAAGAAAATCAAAAGGTATGCACAAAAGGGCCAGCAACATAAGAGTAACCAATGACAAGTGATTAAAGCCAAAACACCAAGTTGCTAAGTATATAAGGAAGCTGCTATTCATCTGGACCTTTGCCCAGAACACAAAAATTTGGAGGAGAAATGGTAGTGGTTTAAAGGGGACAGGGGTTCTAAATTTGCTGCCTCATTCCTTTATCTGGATAGCTCATCTTGGCCTTGCAGAAGCTTCCTCTGATAACTGTTTCTACTGAAATGTCCATAACCACACTGGAAAATCCAAACGGGTACCAAAACATTTATGTAGAAATCCACTGTTTGAAAAACACCTAGAGAATATATTTAAAGCTAAGATAAATTTTGTTCTTTAGAAAATCAACCCAAGATTCTCGCAAAATAGACAATGAAGCATTTTAAAACGTCTCAAAATTCTCTAAGGTAGCTAAATAAAGAGCAAAATTATCTGTACTCCCCCGAGCTTATGGTCCTTAGACAAAAAGCTTTTCTTCTTCTTTAAAGACTGAGTTCCTTTAAGAACCACCACCACCTGCTCATGGTGCTTTTTTTTCCCCCCTCAAGAAGGCATCTGCACTGCAGATCTCCACTCTAGGGGAGCTTGCCAGCCAGCTCCCACCAGCAGGCAGACGCGTATACAATAGAAACTAAAAGCGGCCTGCAGCTTCCCTCCTAGTCTTTCATAGAGATGCGAGGAGAAGGGGGTTCCACCAGCCCCTGCTTTGTCTGAATTTTCTCCCCCTCCCCCTTTTCTGCGGGAAACACCCTTTTGTTATACTTCGATCAATAATAGCCAACAAAAAGCATGGAATTAAAAAATGTCGACTGCTTGGCATGACTCTTATCTATTCTCTTCTAGAATATAAGCTGCTAACCTCGTGCCCCCACCCCCACGTCGCGCCAGTGAAGAGCAGGCTGTGTTGCAGATGCAGCCGCGGATCCATCTTGGACCGTCAACAGCTCCCTCCCAAATCTTCCCTGAGCTATTCTCATCACGCCTCCTTCTACCTCCGAGCCTCTGAAAAATCGGGCATTCCGAGTCTGGCCACAAAAAAACTAAAGGCGGATGAAAACTGTACAGAAAACGGCTTCAGTGTTTCCATTAAACTTCCTCATCCTCCCCACGGGCAACCGAAAAAAACAACCACCCCATTTTTCTGGAAGACAACCATGAACGGCTGGTTATAGCAACACCTGTCTGCAAACCTGCAATGCAACCCAACCCTTTCACCGCCATCCCCTCAAAATCCTAACAGGGCAATTCTCCTACCAACAACCTACCTGCCCCGATCCTCTCAGTCTCTCTAATCCTCCACTAAATCACCACGGTTCAGAGGACGGATTCGCCCCCCGCCCCCAAACTGGTGTCTTTCTCCCACCTGCCCAGTCTCGGCGTTAACGCCCACCCGCGGGAATATCTCCCCTCCCCCAGTCTGTTTTCCCCTCACCCCGTTATTTCCTCACCGCCCGCAAGACCTGTCATCCCCCTCCCCCTTAGCCCATTTTCCAGACGCTCCTTCCCGGGGGGTGAAGCCTCCAGAACGCGAGGGTGTTGTGTCTTCCCTGACCCCCTAGGGCCCCCCTCCCGAGGTCGGGGTCCCCCGGCGCGCCTCACCCGCACAGGAGGAGCCGCAGCTCTTCGTCCCCAGGGCGGGGCAGGCTCCCGGGCTCCCGCTGCCACCACCGAGCGCAGAGGACTCGGCCCCGGAGGACGACGAGACGGACGGGGACTGAGTGGCCGCCGACGGCTCTGCCATGGCTGCGCGAGCAAAGGCGGGAGAGGGATGAAGAGAGATGTGGGACGGGAGACAGGGAGGGGAGAGGAAATAATCCGGCAGCTGGCTCTCCAAAGTCGCCTCGCCTCTCCTACTCCGAGGACAGACTCCGACGGACTGACTGACTCAGCCGAGCACCGTGAGAGGGCGGGAGAGCGACCGCGCAGGCGCACAAGGGCCCTCGGGCGGGGGCGGAGACGGTCGCCTGGCGCCCACTGACGCAGGGCGCAGGCGCAAGAACTGTCCCTCGGCGCTCCTCCAAGGAAGGAGGGGCAAAACCGGCCTCGCGCAGCGCCAAGGCCCTTGGAGGGGGTGGGCGCTGCCCCCCGGGGACCTGGCGCAGGGGGCGTGGTCAAACACCAAGTTCCGCCCACCACTGCGGCCGAAGTTGAGGGGGGGTCCTGCGCCTTAGTGTTTCTCCACGGATTTTTCTGTGATTGTTTTAGCTTAGGCTGATTATGTGTTTTAACGATAGAAATTTCTTTTTGCTTCTATTAGTGAAGCATATTTTTCTCACAAATTCCAGAGCCGATGTTTTTTGTCTGATGCGTTCCTACTCGTGACTCCGATGGTTACAACCACAGTGTAGGTCCACTCTGCAATGTGATTTATGGATTTTCCCGGATATATCCTAATACCCCATCACCACGAGGGACAGATGGTACAATCTCCCATTTGGTAGGTGAAGAAAGAGGCTGTACAGAATGAAAAACTATTCCAATAACATTGCAATGCAGCCACAGAACCTGCTTCGCGTTCTTATCTCGTTACTCTTCCCCAAAAGGGGTCTACCTTGGGTTCCAAGGTTGCCAGTTCCCTGTCTAATAACAGAGAAGACACATTCTGAACGAAAAAAAAAAAAAGCTAAACTAATGAGAAAGATGAGCCAGAAGATAACAGCCTGGTTATGGGATGGTAAAATTAGGGGTTAAAAATTGAGAATGTGGCACAAAAGACATATAATTGAATTTATTCGTCGCCTAAAAGGGGTCCTCAGTGGAAGCTGTATTTGAAACCAGATACTATCTCGTTTATACTGGATTTTACTCTTTTTGGCTTCTCTGATTGGCTTGCAAAATGCAAAGCCTTCTACCTACAACTGGCCAAATGATTTGCAGTGTGCATGATTCTTTTAAAAAGGGAAATGTAGACCAGGAGTAATAAAAATCAAGACTATAGGCCTTGTTATTGCTAAAGCAGCAATCAGTGACCCCCAAGAGCAATTGCAGGATCAGCAGATCCTGTAAAGATGCAACCTCATGAAGAGGGAGGTAGTCAGCCAAGCAGCCACAGAGACGGAAAGCAATCTGACCAGTGGAAATCTTCTAGAACAGGCGGTGAACTCCATCCGCCCTTGACAGATTTTAAGGTCAGGTAAAGCCGAGACAGGAGAAAAAAAAAAGAAAAAACTTCTGGCCGTTGAAACACTCTTAAAAAAAGGCACAGAAGAATATTTCCCAAAATAACTTTGTGGCAAATATCTTACTCTAGCATTTAAAGCATCAGTTGATACTGCAGCAGCTTGTCCTTTGGGTGACAGAGAGAAATGCAAGCCAATATGATAATCAAACCAGTTAGCTACCATTCTGATAAATACATAAATTTTAAGCATTTATATTATTAGGTGCTGGATAAGGAAATGAATGATGCTGGTCCCTAACTCTGACAGCAGTTGCAAGGATCTGCAGACCCTGCCTGGAAAGGAACCCTATTTCCATATCTAGAAAGAGAGAAAAGAAGATAAAAATTGAGACATTGATGTGGTCTTGGTGGTCTCTTTAGAGCCTTCAAATTTTTTACACAAGAGGCCTTTGTGTGGGGTCTTCCCTGGTCGTCCAGTGGCTAAGAATCTGTGTTCCTAGATTCCACATGCTGCAACTAAAAATCTCATGTGCCTCAACTAAGACCCAATGAAGCCAAATAAATATGTTTTTAAAAAAGGTCTTTGTGCTCAGTCCAGTTCCTGAAGCTGCCTTTCCTTCCTGCTCCATCTGCTGTACCAGTACATTTTCCTGAGACTGACTCTTGATTGGGATGTTATTTATGTACCTGATCTGTTGCACAGATGTTTACTGGTCATTTGCTGTGTGTCTGACACACAGAATACTGGGAAATCTGGAGGGATCCAAAAAATATGTTTGTCCTGAGATTACAAGCTAGGTGGGGCTTAGAACATACTCACATAAAATTAAAACAAAATACAAATTAAATAGCAGCCAAAACAACTCCCAAACAACACAAAACTATAACACTATGATTAGATGACAAGTAAATTGTTTGAATTTAAGAGTAGACGGAATCACAATGGAGTTATAGTGACTTGGGGAGGTTTTATGAAGAAATTAAGTCACATAGGAGCTTGGAGTGGTAAGGAGGTCCTTAAAGGCAAGAGAGAATGGTGAAAAGCAAATGCAAGGGGTGCTTTTTTGCAGGTATACAATAGGACCTCCTTCCGGGCAGACCAATCACAAAAAACGCACACTTTTCTCCCAGCCCAGTCCATGATGCACTTCAGTGCTGGCTTGTCCAGCAGAACTTGGCCTAGATTTGATTCCCTCTTGCCCTTCCCTTCCACAGGCTGCATTAATGCAACACAAGACCACACAGCCTTCTGTGGTGACTGGAGGCTTAGAAGTGTGAGATGTTTTGGGTGGAGTTAGCCCAGGTTGGCTAGAGCTGAGGGCTTGAATTGGGACAAAAGGGAGAGCGAATGGAGATGTTTCAGGGCCAGAGTGTGGAGAAGTAGACGCAGAGCCCTAAAGAATGAAGGCTTAGGAGGATTCAGTATAAGTTTTCCGGCAGGGAAGGGCTCAGAGGGAATTGTTAGCGCTCACTGGAGTACAGACGTTTCTCAGGAGTTCTGCTGAACAATTTTAACTGTCGAGGCACTGAGCTGGGAAATCTTCTTTCTTGGTTCTGTCTTTATAGGATGGTATTTACAAAGCTAATTTCCCACCTCGTCTTCTAGGTCATTTTATCATCAGTTTTTTTTCCCCTTGACTTTTAAGGAAAAAAAATTAATTAAAAATTTAATATATTCACATGCCATATATGTTTATAATCAAAAGTATATATACTATAAAGTTTTAATCTATCACTAACCTCTCTGTACCCACTGGTCTCCCCCTCTACACTCACAGAGGTTACTGCTGTTAGGAGCTTTTTTGTGGCAAATGCAAAGGTGAATATAGCAAATTTATATTCTTGTCTACCTTTTTAATGCTTCCCAGGTAGTGTATTGGTAAAGAATCTGCCTGCCAATGCAGGAGCCGCAAGAGATGCAGGTTTGATGCCTGAGTTGGGAAGATCCCCTAGAGAAGGAAATGGCAACCCACTCTAGTATTCTTGCCTGGAAAATCCCATGGACAGAGGAACCTTTGGGGGTACAGTCCATGGAGTCACAGAGTCAGTACACGACTGAGCACACACACACACACACACACACACACACTTTTTAACACAAATGATAGTGCTTCCTTTCCTTAACAGCAAATTCTAGTGATCTTTTCTAGTGTCTTTTTGAGGCATTACAACAGTTGTGCTGTTGACTGCAGTTAACAATAACGAAGTAGCTGATAGACTTAGAGGTTTTATTCTATTACTATATTGAGGGCCTGATAGTCAACTTATAACAGCCTAAGAGTCAGGATTGACTTTTCTTTTGACAAACTAGGACACCAAGTTATTCCCTCATTTTATACACAAGCAAAGTAAGGTATTTAAATGACACCCAGGAATGCCAGTTGTCCAGTCTGTCCCTTACGAGTGCCTAGATTGTTGCTTAAATGTGGATTCTGCGAGTAGGTGGTAGGAGAGGAGTCTGAAGTGTGTCCCAACACAGTGAGTGAAGGTTATTTACTTGGCTGTTTACCTCACAAGGCTGTGAGTCTCTGGAGGACAAGAATGTGCCTTATGTATTGTGGCAGCATTACTGCCTAGCACTGTGCCTGGTACATAACAAACACCCTGTTTTTGGAAAGCTTTGGAACCTGACTCACAGTGGATATTATTGCAGAAAACAATTTTGCTATTTTTGTCCTTTGTAACATACTCTAGTATGTTGAATATTTATGACTTTGTTTTGCTTTTCCAGAATGAATATAATAATTACCAATTTTTGAGCACTAATCATGCATTAGTCATAATTACCAAACATATCTCATTTAACTATGACAACTCTGTGGCTTGAGTATTCAAGTCATTTGGCAGATGATGATGAAACGAGTTCAAAAAGGTAGACTAACTCACCCAACTGTACAGCTAGTGAGCTAGAATTCAGAACCAGGTCAGTCTGACCACAAAGCCAGTGGCCTTGACCATTCAAACATATCTATATGTCACCTACTTCTTGAAAACCACAAGGAAAGCTCAGCCTCTGCTCATACTACATGAGTGAGATGGCTGAAGGCAGGCTCAAATCAGTCTTAGTAATATTTAGCATTTTGTATCTCCAGGGTTTTGATAACCATGAGTACTTGATCTGGAAACAATAATAACAAAACAGGCTTCTTGTTTACAGAGGTTGTTTTCTGAGTTGCGACTAATCCTAAAGCCTACGTGTAATTTGTATTGTGTTGTTCCGAGTGCCAAAAACGTCTACAATATATGCAGAAGGCTGAGGTGCTGATATTGACCTTGATGATGTTATACTGAGCAAGATGTAATGTCAGTATTTGCTGTCACTTCCTGCCAGGGTGCGTTTCAATGTATCTCTATTGGGAATCCTTCAAAATAGAACAGTGGAGAAGGAAATGGCAAAGAACTCCAGTATTCTTGCCTGGCAAATCCTATGGACAGAGGAGCCTGGCAGGCTACAGCCCATGGGGTCACAAAGAACTGGACACGAATGAGTGACTAACACAAATTAGAACAGGGTACATTGTTCAAAAGCAAAAATTAGGTATTTAGTATTAAAGGAACAAAAAAGTGAGTGGGCAGTGTTACGTGTAACATGTACTTTCTTTATTCATCCTTTCAGTAAGTATTTGAGTTTCTACTTCCTGCCTGGCACTGTTTGGGGACACTGGAGATACAGGCAGTGAACACAAAAATTTCTGTTTGTAACTTATGTTCTAATGGGAAGAGACAAACAGACAAGTAAAACAGAAGTTAAATGTTGAGCAGTCTTATGGAGAAGGTTGGGGAAGGGGAGGACAGGGGTTTCCCTGATAGCTCAGATGGTAGAGTCTGCCTGCAATGCAGGAGACCCAGTTTTGATCCCCGGGTTGGGAAGATCCGCTGGAAAAAGAAATGGCTACTCACTCAGGTATTTTTGCCTGAAAAATCCCATGGACCGAGGAGCCTCCTGGATGGAGGAGTCCATGGGGTTGCAAAGAGTGGGACGTGACTGAAAGACTAATACTATATGCTCATCACCACCATGTTCAGTTTAACTTCTTTAATTGTTTATTGCAATTGTGACAAGTCTTTAGTCTCTGGTCCCTTTCTCTGAGCATGCCGCATATCCCTTGGATTTGTGTAATATCTTGTAGGTCCTGCTTTCTGCACACACAATGTGAAACCCCAGTAGCCACTTGTCCTGATATTCACATTAGTTTCTTGCTGGTCAGTTAGCTTAGCTTGAATCTAGACTCACATATAATGCCTGGAGGAGGTATTCAAATAACCTTGAGAATTTGCAGAGAATCAGAAGGGACAGAGGAAAAGAAAACAAAACAGGACCTCTTTAGGTAAGTTTAGGTAGAATTATCTTTACTTCTTTACTGCTGGCCTAATCACTCCGGGAGTGAAACACAGATCAAGGGCATCGCACAGCCTAGAGATGGCTGGAAGGAGGTCCTGGGTAGGTTATAATAGGTAAGACAGAAGAAAGTGGAATAATGTGTCAAGTGAATGAAGCAAGGGTGATGCAAGAGGTGGTGGTGGTGGTGGCAACAGACACTTTAGCCTCTCATCAGCTACTTACCCCCAAGACAACTGTCCCTATTCCAACAAATCCAAAATAACAATATTCTCCAATTGTGACAACTGCCAGTTTTGCAATCACATGTGAGTGTGAATAAAAGCATCTTTGGAGAACTGTGTTTGCATTGATCTACCATACAGTTTAAGTAAGAGTGTCATTGCCAAAGCAACTTCAACACAAGCTCCAGGAAGCCAGAGGTTGACAAAATACGGCCATAGCTTAGGAAGAACAAAGCCAGTGGAAGGACTTTCCCTGGAAATTCTTATGTTAGCTGTTAAGAGTAGCGATGGTGCGCCATCAGGCGTGGGCAGAGACAAGAATATCGGGAGTAGCTGCAATGGTGATAATGAAGTCACGGCCTCCTCTCCTTGTGAAGTCAAAATCATTTAAAAAACCAGTGAAGCTCACGTCACCCGTGGTTGACGCCTCCCTTCGGTCCTTAGGGTAGAGAGCCGCCTACCTATGGCTCCGGCCAGCGTTAAGCACCGAAACCCTCTCAAACGCTGCCGGTAGGGGTCCGAGGCCGGTTCCATCGAGGCCTCGGACCTGGGCCTCGGACCTGGGCCTGGCCTCAAGACTAAGAGCGGGGCGGAACCACGGGCTGGCTCGGTTCTCCCCGCATGGCCTGCTGGGAGTTGTAGTTCAGTCGTCGAAGAGCCGCGACAATCCCGCTCTCTCTCTTCCGCTTCCTCCCCGCCCCGGATGAGTTCGCCAAACGGGAACCGCTGGCCGGTAACCAGAGATCGAGGGGCTACAATTCCCAAGGGACGGTTGCTCCCAGTGCGCAGCCCCAGGTATTCCAGACAGTGTCGGACTCCAGCACACGTGCATACGCGTCGGGCGGTGGCGGGATTTTGCCGCGTGCGCTTTCCCGCCCCAGTCCGCTAGGCGCTCGCTGCGCCTCGGTCGACCCTTGCCAACCCTCTGAGTTCTCGCTCTCTCGCGGCTTCGCGCGCCCCTCCTTCTCCCTCGTTTCTGTTAGAGCCCAGGCCACGCCCGTTTCCCGCCTCCAGGGCCTGGTTCGTTCCCGCCCCAGTCTTGCCCTTTTTGCGCCCCTGCTGCTTCTGCTGGAGGCGGAGGCTCCATGTTGTCCCCTCAGCGAGCGGTAGCGGCTGCATCGGGAGGAGCAGGTGAGGCGCCCGATTTCCCCCGAGCCCGCTCCGTAGCCACCTCCACCGCCCTCGCTGCTGTAGCTCCGAGGAGACCTTACGCACGTGCCGCCGCCCTTCCTCGTCCCGGGGTTGGGACCGCGCGCGCCCCTCCTTGGTGTCCCTTGGCCGGCTTATTCGGGTCCAGGGGCTGCTCGCGGGGTCGGGACGGTAGGGCACGGGCGGCGCCTTCCTCGGCCACCTTCGGAGGTCGGGGCCTCCTATCGGGGGAGACGGTTAGTGCCCCTTGGGGCTGCTGCCGCCCGCATGGTGCCTCCCCCTCCCAGCCTAGGACGGCCCCGAGGGTCTGTGGTCCCGGGGCGTCGTTCCGAGGCTTCGCCCCGCCGGCCCCGCCCTGGCTGAGCTGGGCGCTCTTGGCTGCGGTCCCCTTCCTGCCTGGGCGCTTCGCACGCTCTCGGGCCGAGTGGCTCTGGCCTTGTTAACGGGCCCAGGGAGCTGAGAAAATATTATAGATGCCGTATTGTTCAACCTTTTAAAAAGCTATGGAGGGCTGCGAAGTGGCTTTGAGTTGGAAATTTTATTTTTATCCTAACGACCTTGAGTTACAAGAAGTATTAGGAAGGTTGATTTTCAACCCACACTTATCTCCCTAAAGGAGATAAGAGAATGTGGCCTAAATTGATTTTTAAGAAGTTCTTTTAGTACGTGTGGTACAATACGTTCTTTTGCTTTCTTGAAGATACAAAGAATAGTGAAAGTATTAAATAAAAACAAATGGTCACCAGAAATTCGTGGGTTTTGATTTCATCTGTCATTTTACCTGACTTTATTTTTGTTTGCTGTGTGTGCTGTTGAAATGGCCAGACGTTTCCTTTGCCAAATCTAAAGGCAACAACAGAACATTGAAGACTTCAATAAATCCCAGCCCTGAAATTTGAACACGAAGTTGGGTAGAATGTTTTGGGAAGGAAAGAAAAGAACTAACGGACCAAAAATGTGGTTTCACATTCTGGCTGGCTTTTGGAGAATCAAAACCTACATAGTTTTAAGCCGAGACACGTATTCAGCATTGCAGTGTTGAGTTTCAAATGAGTGCTTTTTTTTTTCAGTCCCCACAGAAACTAGCTCATAGTGTAGAAATCTCTGTTGCTGCTTTACCACCTGTTAAGGAAACGCTTGACTGACGATCTCTATCTAATGAGGTATTATGTTCACAGAGCAGGTTGTTTTATTAGCTATTGTTTACTGTCTTATTGGAGTCATAAAGTTAAGAAAAGTAGTAATAGAGGAGAGATGGGATGACGAGTGCTAGCATAATTTTTTAAATTTTCACTCAACACAGGGCTTGTTGTTCAGTTGCTCAGTCATGTCCCATCCTTTGTGACCCCATAGATAGCAGCAGGGCAGGCTTCCCTGTTTAGAGTAGGCTTTTGTAGAATTGGTTTTCTAAGGCATAGCACATGCAGTTTTTCATTTTTATGATTCCTAAGTCATAAAAGATACACTCACACTAATTATTTAAAATGAAATAATGGAGACCTGTAAGAAGAAATGTCTTCTCTACCTCCCCAGTTCCTCAGTGGTAGCCATTACTCACAATTTGGTCATATAGTCTAATATTTCTTTGAAATATTAGAGAACCCTAGGGCGTGTGAACTTGTTTGAGAATTGGTTTAAAGTTTACCTCTGATGACTAGGCATGCCTTTAAAGTTTCTGTGGCCTTGTGTTTCATACTGAGAAATTGTTTAAACAACACAACTATAGTTTATAGTTAGTCTGAATTTTAAAACATTTTCCTGACTTTGAGATTCTAAGAGCATATTCTCTAAAAAATATCAAGGGGAAACATGATGGGAAAGCTTTTAGTTAAAAGGAAAAAAAAATCTTTTAGTTGCTGTAGAACTGTGGTTCCCAGCTCTGCTGCACTTTAGAATAACTTGGGGTTTTTAAAACCTGCCAATGCTTGGAGCTCACTCACAGATTCTGATTTAATTCATCGAGGGGCCAGGCACTAGTGAAAAAGCTCCTAAAACCCAAGTAATTTGATTTTTATATTAAGAGATAATCAAATTTCTCTATAGGTGGTTGCTTAATTTGAATTGATTTATTGCATTATAGGAAGTATAATTTGTAATGTCAATATTTTTGTATTGAGTTGTTACTCTTCTGGGCTTCCCCAATGGCTTGGCGGGTAAAGAATCCGCCTGCAATGCAGGAGACAGGAGATGGGGGTTCCATCCCTGAGTTGGGAAGATCCTCTGGAGGAGGAAATGGCAACCTACTCCAGTATTCTTGCCTGAAAAGTCCCATGAACAGAAGAGCCTGGTGGGCTATAGTCCATAGGGAGGCTAAAGTATATTACAAATTAGAAAGTAGATTTTACAGACATAGTAGATGAAAAAGCAGGGAAGTAGATTAATTCTTTATGTTTTGAAATGATAAGGAATCCAAATCAAATATTGCCAGTTAAGAAAGTCTTATTCAACTGGAATACAGATAATTAAAACCTTCAGGTAGCCAGGTTGATTTTGCTGGTGTTCGTATTTTTAGGGTAAAGTAAAATCAGGTGACTATTGAATTCTTCCTATTAAAAAGACTTTTTCTCATTTTTAGATTCAGTCTGCATTTCTGACATAATTGATTTTCGTAAATCCATGAAGCACTGCAAAATTCTTAATTAACTAAGAAAAAGTGCTTCTGTTCAGCATTCTGTGTGCTAAGCATTCTGTGTAGACTTCCCTCATAGCTCAGTAGGTAAAGAATCTGCCTGCAGTGCAGGAGACCTGGGTTCCATTCCTGGGTTGGGAAGATCCCCTGGAGAAGGAAATGGCAACCCACTCCAGTATTCTTGCCAAGAGAATTCTGTGGACGGAGGAGACCAGCAGGCTACAGTCCACGGACTTGCAAGAGTTGTACATGACTTAGTGACCAAACCACTACCTGTGCTAAAATACAAAAATTTTCTATGACAGATGAAAATAATCTTCCTTGTAAACCTTTTAATTAATTAGAATGCAAATTTCCCCTAGTATTGTATTGAGTTGTGTTTAAATAGTATTTTCATGGAAACAACCTTAGAAATATATGTGTATCTACCAATATACTGCCTTGAGACAAAAGGCACTCCCACCATCCGCAGAAAGGAGCCACACCCAGTAGTAGAGTTGGCTGAGAGCTTCCATGTATCTTTGATTTTGATGGTATGTTTTCTTTGGTGTTCTCTGTGAACTGGGAACTTTAAAAGACTGCCAGCAAGAAAGAGGCATGAAAATGGTATGCTTCTGTTTTTGGGTGTGTTGCTTTTGCTCTTTAGAAAATGTGCTATTTCAAAAGGAGAATGGAAAACTCAGGTCATAACTTTACCCTGAGTCATGCACGCTGCTCAGTGAAATGTTTCTTTAAGTATAGTTAGGATTTGCTTTTCAGAACTCTCTGGACAGTAAGAATGAGAACTGAGACTTGCTCTGCCCCACTGGTTTTTAACCCAGGGTGGTTTTGCCTGGTTGGGACACTTAGCAATGCCTGGAGACATGTATGGGTCTCCCAGTCAAGAGAAAGCGCAATTGATACCTGGTGAGAAGAGGTGAGAGATGCTGCTAAATATCCTACAGTGAGTGGGATAGTTCCCCACAACAAAGAGTTATCCACCCAAATACCAGTGGCTCTGAGGTTGAGAAACCCTGGTCTAAACTCTTCAATTGATCTACAAACTTCTGTCTGAATTACCTGAAATAGCAATTGTGATTGCTTCTAAATAACTGGTTTCGTTGAGTTTATCACTGGTTTCAAATATTTGAGGAGCATTTAAACTTCTTTCCCCCATAATGCTTTTTCTGATAGAACTTGTTTCTTAAAATGTGTGTTTTCCATAGGGTCAGAAAGGCCACTTATAATTCAGTAATCTTATCTACTTTTATTCAGCCTGTGCTGCTACATTGTTTTCTTCTGTTCTTTAAAAATTCAGAAATCTAGGAAGAATTAGTGTTGTAATTTACATAGTCTGTACAAATTTTCCCCAATAATAATTAATCTCACTTGTTAGTCTTCCAGCCGTTCTATTTGTCTGTCCTTTTGGGGAAGTTGTTCAGTCGCTCAGTTGTGTTGGACTCTTTGCGACCCCACAGACTGCGGCATGCCAGGCTTCTCTGTCCTTCACCATTTCCTGGAGTTTGCTCAAACTCAGGTCCATTGAGTCCAGTTATACATCAATCAAATAAGCATTTAAACCTAGTGATTAATCTGGATTAAGGTGTGTATTAAAAAGGAGAGGCTAAGTCAGTGCTTTAAAAGTACTTAGAAAAAACTTCCATGTCAATTATTGGAATCCTTTATCATTATCCAAATATTTTCAACATTTCTACATACTTTGAAACGATGATTGATACAGTATTACTTTGAGCTATTTACACCAGTAATAATTGGCAGTATAATAGTTTTACCACTCACCTTTTTTTTTTGAAATTAGGTTTTAAGTTCACTAAACTTCAGTTTTTCCTAAACTTAGGTTTATAACTTTACTTAAATGTAAACGGATGGTCTGGGAACTGGGATCCCACAAGTTCTGTGGTGTGCCCCCCCCTCCACCCCCCAAAAAAAAGTGTATATGGAGGACAGATATGACTGGTCAGGCATATCTTTTGTATGTGTATAAAATGTCACATCTGTTCATGTAAGTGAACATAATAAAGCATGAACTCTTCATATACTAAACAAATATTAATTGTTCATGTAACTGAGTATTACTCAGAAAATGTTGTCAACTTGGAAAATGATTGCTTTGCTAAGGGAGAAGGCATATAAGGTTGCCATGTAAAGGTTTTTCTAGCACCATCCCTGGAGGTTAGATCTCCAGTACGATTCTTGAGAAATGAAAGTAATTTCACTGCAAATGGGGTGTCCCTCCCCCTTAAAGAAACCTCAAGTCTTTTGTGGAGTCCTTTCTGTGCAGGTTGCTTTTTTTTTTATCATGAATTTTGATCTGTTCTTTAGCCAGGTCTATACAATTTAACTTAACCTAAAG